GAGCCCAGCAGGTCGAGGTTGTGGTGGCCGGGAGCGGCCACTGCACTCCAGTCTGGGAGACAGAGTGAGACTCCAACTCAAAAAAAAGAAAAGAAAAGACAGCCTACAGAATAGGAGAAAATATACGAATCGTGTATCTGATAAGGAACATTTACCTGGAATGCAGAAATATCGTTTACAGCTCAATAGTAAGACAAACAATACAATATAAAACGGCAAAAAGTTTGAATACACATTTCTTCAAAGATGATATACAGAGGATCACTGAGTGCGTGAAAAGAGTCCTTGGGGAATGCAAGTCAAAGTTACAGGGAGACTCCCCCACCAGCCTGGCTGGAGTCAAAGGTTAGACGCGAAGGTGCCGGGGGCCAGGAGGGAGGCTGTGAAAGCGCCGCTGCCTTGAAGGATGACCAGATGCTTCATTAATGACTCAACAGTGGCCCATGACCCACAGCTCCACGGGTACGGATCTATCGCATGAAAACTCAACTGGCACTGATGCTCACAGCTGCCCAGTTCATAAAGTCAGAAGATGGACACACGGGGTTGGAGGCCTGCACTGTGGTCTCTCCATGCAGGGACCAGCACGCAGGAGGGCGACACAGGCAGCACCACGAGGGAGTCACAGAATCCAGACACAATACAGTGTACGAATCCACTGATTTGAAACATCCAACAAGCGGCAAAGCTGCAGAAATATAAAGTAGATTTGTGGTTACCAGCTGGGGGAGGCGGGGCTGGGGAGTGGTGCTGTTGGGAACTGGGTTTCCCTCTCAGGTGATGAAAATGCTCGGAATTAGATTGTGGCCAGTGTTGCACCATTCCAAATAAAACCTTACAGAACTGTGCACTTTTAAAACATATTAGATACGTGGACCTCACTATGTTGCCCTTGAACTCCTGGCCTCAGGTGATACTCCAGCCTCTGCCTCCCAAAACACTGGTATTACAGGCCTGAACAACCAGAACTGTGCACTTTAAATGGGTCAGTTGTGTGGTACATAAATTACATCTCAATAGAGCCGTTAAGAGGAAAAAAGCAAAACAGACGTTCCTGCGGGCCTGGGGCTCTAACCAGCCTTGGCTGCTCTTCCCGATGCAGCCTGGGCGCGGGACGGAGGGGCTCACGCCTGCGCTGTAAGTCCGGCGCCTTCTGGGCACAGGGGAAAGGGATTCGGGTCCTGAGGCCTTGGCCGCCAGCTTCCCAGGGGCGGCG